CAGCGGCGGGGAGCACAAGGGCAGGCACTGACCTCTAAAAAGAAAAAGAACAAGTAATTTTATTGGAATACAAGAGTCATTTCTTTTCGAAATCTGAATAGAAAGGGTACATGTCGAATACAACGTGTACATGTTCTATTCGAGGTGCTCGTCAAGAAAAGTGGATCCGTGCCGTTTCAATTTCGAAAAAGGCTTAAGGACGGCGGCCTCCTCGGCCTCCTACGGGCAGCTACCGGTCCTACGGGGTCTGGCGCTTGCAAGGCCCCAAAACCTCAAAATGCCCACCCTCCCAACGACCACCGACGTTGAAATTTGAGTGACGTTGAAATGTCTCAGGGGGGGAAAACGCAACCCTGATGGGCTGCGAACACTACTCACCAGATGACCCTCCTCCCCCCTCTGCCTTGACCTGGACCTTCCATTTCTTATACTTCTGTTCTCCTGTCCTGTAGCATCCGCCCTTCCAAACCCCCTCCTGATCCCCTCTCTACTACCCTGTTCTAGGACCCCCACTAACACTGCTCCTTTCCTCTGTTCGCCTTCCCATTGAAATGGAGCTGGACTTAAGACAAAAAAAGGGGAAAAAAAATTGAGTATGGACTTGAAGCTTCTGAAGATTTCTGACTTTTAGAACCGGCTCCCTGGAATTTCCGGATGACCACTCCCGGAAAAAAGTGCCTTGGAATCTGGTGCGCTGAGGACCAACCTGACCTTTTCGACTCTAGTATATCTGACTTGTACTTAACCATCTCGCAAAGTAGGGCTTTTGGTGACCTTTTCGGTCTTACAACTGCTTCTCGTCTCCTGTATGGAGAAGGTTCTTTCAATGCTTTGAGGGATTCTTATATGGGTGAATGTTATATCCTACTCTGCCTTTACATTGCATGCGCTGTTGAGATTGCTTGCTTCTCTGGATGGATGATGTATAAATGATTATTGGTTCACAAAAGGTAAGGTCAGATTCAGTGAAGTCTGTCAGGCACGGCCTGTAACAGTTACTTTATTCCGGCACAGTTTGGAACTGTTTCTTTTTTTTTTTTTTTTTTTCCCATTTTGAAGGGGGTAGCCCCCAACTTTATTTTGTTCACATGATCCAGTGACATGTGTGTACCATATATATCGTCAAATAGAACTGCCCGGTAAACCGTAGGCAGAGAGGGAGAAGAGGACAACAAACGAGGGGCTGTGACAAACTGTTTCGTCGGAGTTTCACTGACTCATCAGGAGGCTGAACCCTCAACAGTCTGTAGAATCCCCTCACTGATTACACTGTAAGTGATAATGCACCTTAACCAAAATCRAAGTAGACTATCACTCACCCACACCAGATGGAAAACTCTACAGACTGTCGGTTCACACCCCATCACAAGCCAGCAAAACACCCACGAAACAAAGAAAGGTCTGTCACAGCCAAAAAATACACTCCAGACACGCCGCTGGCACTAGAGGCACAGCATGGCCGCGTAGTGACGGCCCCGACCACTGCCGCTCGACCTGACCGGAGAAAACCGTAGCAGGAAGCTAGCGAAGTCGTAGTATATATCGTCAAATAGAACTGCCGACGGTAAACCGTAGGCAGAGAGGGAGAAGAGGACAACAAACGAGGGGCTGTGACAAACTGTTTCGTATATATATATATATAATTTTTAAGGGGTCAACCTGGCTGGTCTGATCCCGACAATCCGGCCTGGTTCATACCATCATGTGTGTACCATTCAATAACTGTTTTTTTCAGTATCGGAAATTTAGCAAATTACATTTCATCTCTTGAGTTCATGGATTGCCATCATGTTAGTTGAAGGACTACCATCTTCACCGGAATAGAACGCCCGGTCATTATAGCTGTATTTGGTTCGATTTTCATTCCAGATGCAACCATAATAACCGGGCCACCTAATGTCTATAAAACACCTGGGACGTATAGAAGCATCCCCTCCGGACTGTGAAAGAGGTTGTCTACGGCCAGGCCGCAGTGGTGCTATGTGTGCTAAGAAAGGATGAGCATGCCGCTAGTGGGTCACGGCCCCAGGTTCTGAGGTCGTTCAGTGCTGACCTTGGGCGTCGATGACAGGCACAAGCATGCAAGGAGAGTAAGAGGCCAAGCACCCCTGACTGATCCCAGGACCTCTCGGACCCGACCATACCTAACGAGCAACAGTCTTCCCCTGAATACAAGCCGTTGGCCGGTAGTGGATGGGCGACCGGTAAGGCAGGGGACACTACAGGGGCGACCAAACGACCGATACGCCGACCAACCAACCGACCGCACCGACGAACGAACGACCAGCTGACCGACCGAACAAACTACCGACGGACGGACCGACCGAACTACCTACCTACCTACCTACCTACCTACCTACAGACCGACCGACCGACCGATCAAACGAACCAATTGGCCCAACGAAACTGCAACAGGGACCAAGCTACGATGGCGCCACCTCATCGCCGATGGCGAAAATTGCGCGCGACGATCCATGCTACTTGCAGTATTTGCGCGGGGGTCCCACCCGAGCGCGCTTCCTGCCCGTCGATCTTAGCGTAATAATGTACGGTAAAAATTGAAGGAAAGGACTCGCACGCGCGCCAGTTTGGAACCGGCCCTGCTAAAATTTACGCGGGGGCAAGGTCCCACTTGCACGGATTAAGAGATACTGACCGTAGATAGAAAAGATCAACGGCCGAAATCTCCTAATTTGCGCAAGTGGGACCTTTCCCCGGGGGGTCTCAGAATTTCCGACGCAAGGAAAGGAGGACTCGGCACACGCGCCAGTTTGGAGCCGCCCCTGCTAAAAATTGCGCGGGGGTCTCTCTCAGAATTTCCGAGGCGGGCTCGTCGGGAGCCCGCGCGGCGCGCTGACTGGGATTGGAGGGAGGGCGGATAAAGCAAGAGCGCGGCCTCTCCGATGTGTGTGTCAGCGATGGCCCAGACGGCGGGGTCTGGTAGACTCTCCGCTCCCCGTCTTGCAGGCGCGGCGCCGGTCACACGGGCGCCCCGTTCCACTCCCGATCCCAGCGCCTGCTTCCACTAGGTCACATGGACTGCCCCATCTCCCGCCTCACCCATTAACCCATTAACCTGGTCTTCGCCATACACCTTACGGGGTGGCCTTCTCTCCATTTTGGTTTCAGTCGCGTCATTTCATTTTTGTTCCGTCCGTCAGAATCTGGGTTGTCAGTCCCCCGCTTCTTGCGCGTTCCATAGCGATGGCGACCGCTGCGAGCGGAATTACAGCTGGCGGGTTGTCAGTGAAGCTGAAGTCGGGCTCGCCGGCTACTGGGGCCAGTCATTCGTGCTCCTGCTCTTCCTCAATATGTCCATCATCTACCTCTCGCTACCTGCCCTCCTGTCGTGATGGTAGATGGCCTGTTAACAAGAGCAGTGGTCACCGCGTCGGCAGCTCCAGTGGCAGCAGCTTGACATCGCAGCGGTTTGTCTGCCACCATCGACCAGAAGGATCTCGCCATGGCCGAGGAGCGACGGCAGCGATGTGCTCTCGCACTTATTCTTTCGTACGTCGAATCCGACTCGACACATTCTTGCCGTCCTCACCACTTGTAAGCCCTCTCTGTTTCTCTTTCCCCTCCCGCTCCCTACCTCCTTTGTCGTCCTCTTTCTCCCCCCTTCGTGACCCCCCATTGTCTATGACCTATTCTCCCTGGTTTCTCTCTCTTGTCCCCAACGCCCACTTGCATTGTCTATTCCTTGACTGTCTCTCTCTTTCCTCCACTCTCCCTCTCCCGCTCCCTTCATGTATAGTTGGCTGTCTCTCTTTGACTCGCTTGTTTCTGTAATCTGTGCCCTGTATCCGCATTCTTCTTGGGTGTCTGCCTGTTCGCAGAGTGGCGTCATATTTCATTTGAGCGGTCCGTGGGTACAAAGTGCTCGGGTTACATTCTTTGCAATGCTTGTGAACTGTTAGCAGTGACATTGCCAGGGATCTCCGAGTCTATAAGGCACTATTCAGCTCCGAGAGTGGACCGTGTGCATCTCCCATAGTCAGCCTTCTCACATTGGCCCAATGGCAGTACTGTGGGAGGTCGTACATTGGGTTCGTCGTTTAATATCCGGTGACCGTCACACTGACCCCGAGTACGAACTGTGTGGCAGGGACGTCGCGCATGCTTGCGTCGAAGGATTGGTCATGCCTCTTCCTCCCGCGTCCTCCTTTTAGTTTCTCTCTCGAGCGCGCTTGCCTGGACGTGTCCATGTATTTGTGGCTTTCGTGTTTTGTGGCGGGGTGGTGTGTGTTGCAGAGCGAGTGGGAGCGAGTGAGGGGGGCGTGGAGAGGAGGGACTTATGGGGGGAGGGGGAAGAGAGAGAGAGAGAGAGAGAGAGAGAGAGAGAGAGAGAGAGAGAGAGAGAG